CTCCTCCTAAGGCTGAAGTTATAGCCATAGTGATCTGCTTAGTGATCTGCTTAGCGATGTCACATGACCTGTAAAGGCCAATGAGAGCCAGCTCTGGGACATTTGCTGACACTATTGCAAGAAAGAAGCTCTCTTTCCACTGGGGCTAAGATATTAAGATTGAAGCCTGGAGCAGCAAATGGCCTTGTGGGGAAGAACGTGCTTGAGAATTGAAGTTAACAGAGAAAAATGGGGCCGGGGGTAAGAGAAAGAGCCCTGATGACATCTGAGAAACCGGACCCGGCCAAGACTAAAGACAAATCAAATTCTGTTCTCAGTTATCTGAGCTAATACATACTCGTGGATGCTAACACCAGTCTAAGCCAGGGTTCTTACTTATTACTAACAGAGTGGCCATTTCCATACCCCCGAAGCCTGCACACGATCTAAGGCTCTGGCTGGGATTCCAGGGATGTTAGCACGTGAGACAGTACTCGTTCTTAGCTCGGGTGTGTGTTCTCCCTCGATCCTTCTCTGGAACCGGCCACCCTGCTACCTGCGAGAATGCTCCCTGGGTCCCCTGGGGCCTGTGACACCCTCACCGTCCAAAACTCCAGTTGGGATGTTAGCAAGCTGTCCTGCTCAGGTCAGCAAGGTTTCCTGTTCAGGGCAGCATGTCCCTATATCTGCTCATTCCTAAAACAAACAAACACCAGCCCTGTCGCCTGACCCCAGCATGCTCCACACACCGCTTCTGCTCACTTCTTAAACAGGTAGACGTGCAGGGTAGCACCTCAGGGAAATGAAGCAGAACAGAACAAAGGTAAAGTGAACAACACACAATAATGGGAAAAGTACAGGAGAAAATGATCTAATCCAGTAACATGTTGAGTAACAGTAAGTCTAACTATACCCACTTATTTCAGTCCCTGATTTGGTATGAGCAAGATACTTGGATAAACCCTTAGAGTTCCATCTGAAGGAGATTCGATTCACTATAAAACAGTGATAAACAGTGCTTTTCCTTAAAAGCAAGTACCTGATGTCACTGGTACAAGAACGTGCAATAGAGCCTGCAGGGAATTTGGTATTCGACCTGCACGACTCGTCCTGTCCTGTCCTGAGGGCACATGCTCGGTGCTGCTCCCTGCCTCTTTTTCTTTCGCTCCCTGCCCCCTTTCCTTCTTCCTTTTCTCCTTCCTTCCTTTATCTCAACAGCCTAGAGGAAGCATCAAGTTAGGAAGTTCTTTTTGTAGGTTTTTCCTTTTTAAAGTTAACGTCCTAACCAGAACTCTATAAATAAGGTGCCATTCCCATCCCCACGACCAGAGAAGACATTAATCAGAAAGAGGCAAAGCCAAAATCTGAGCCTGAGCAGCCTGACTCCAGAGCCCGGGCTCTTAGCCATGCCTGGTTTTTAGGTTGAGAAGAAGGTCCAGCTGAGCTGTCAATTTAAGGAGTTCATAGTAGGCAGAACAGTAGATGGCCCTCCCCGAACATCGACACCTCATCCCCAGAACTTGTGAATATGTCAGGTCAAAAGGCAAAGGGGAATTAAGGTTGTGGATAGAATTAATTTGCTGATCAGCCGACCTTAAAATAGGGAGATTACTCTGGATTATCTGGGGAGGCTCCATGTCACCGCGAGGGTCTTTAAAAGTGGAAGAGGGACTGAAAAAAGAACCAGAGAAATGGCAGCATGAGAAGGACTGAGCAACTGTGATGATGAAGGAACGGGGTTGGGAGCCAAGGAATGTGGGCAAAGCTGGAAACTGGAAAAGACAAGGAAATGGAATCTCCCATGGGGCCTCCAGAAAGAAATGGAGTGCAGCCTATACCTTGATTTTACCTGCAATGAGACGTGTGTTGGACTTCTAACCTACAGAACTGTAAGGTAATCAGTTTGTAAAGACAAATAAGGAAGATACTAAATGCGTGGCAACTGGTAATGGCAGCAACTAGAAAACTAATCCAGAAGCTAATCTGGTCAGGCCTGAGCAGTAAGGACCTGAAAGGAAGCAACAGAGCGGGAACCAAGAACCTGCTCGTCCAAAAGAGGAACATGGCGATTGAGATAGTAAGATGCAAAGGAGAAGCCTTGGCAGTACAAAACCTCTTTCCTTTCCTTTCCATATCCTAAGAACTTGCAGGGAAATGGTATTCTTGATACAGAACCTCACTGGAAAGAACCACTCAGTAATGTATGTGTTCCACAATTTTATTCTGCATTTTATTCTGCAATTGCCTAGCCTGTGCTGGGTATCTAGGAATATACATACAAGCATCTAACTTTACCCTTCAGGCTCCTTTCAGAAGAAAAAAAAGAAGTGAAAAACTAACCAAATCTTTAACATAGCATGAAACGTAACTGTACCCCGCCTGAATCAAACTAGCATTGTTATTTGTTCAAATTCTAGGAAGGATATGATGCTCAGAATTAGACTAGGTTCCTCACCGCTGAGGTTTCATTTAAATTTAACACATCAGCAAGATACTCAGTCATGATTAATTTATATTTATTAATTTATACTTACTGAGTTCCACATGGAATAGTAAAGTAAAAAGTAATAGATAAACCCAGCATCTAGAAATGCAGAATCAAATAATTCTAAGGGTAATACACCCCCAGAGGGTGTTTATGACTAGACAGCAGTCAGATGACCTTAAATAAGAAGGTCCTTAGTGATTGAAACTTGTTCATTACAGGGAACTAGTCAAACCCCTACTGTCGTTTCTGTTGCTTGTGAAGGAGGCCCACTAAAGTCACTTGGGCGTGAAGCCAACCGCAACCCTCCAGGGCACCGAAGGGCTCGAAACGGACTGGTTATTTCTCACCACCCAAAAGTGGGCTGACTTCGAGACTGAAGATCGAAATACCTCCTCAAAACTTCCTAGGACCTTGGATGTGTTACCCTGGGAGCAGCCTCCCTGGATTATGCCCGTGTACAATGGAAACAGCCCTGATTGCCACCAGCAGCAGCCTCGCGCTCTGCGGGCTGAGAAACAAGGCTCGTCCCTCTACGCAGCTGCTCACTCAGCGGGCTGCGCTGTTCAGTCTGACGACAAGAAAACGTCAGAGCCGCCTCACTGCCTTCTCCTCCAGCCCAAACCTGAAACCAGAGGTCACGAGACCCAATGTCTTCAGGGACTAGGCAGATAAAGTAAAAGGGTGCCATGGGTCAAGTGTCAGAAACACACAGCGCTTTCTAACTACCTGATTCCACTTGTGATACGGCATGGATATGAAGAGCTACTGCTCTTCAGTAAGAGGAGACAACAGAGTAAGCGTGATGATACACGCTGCTGCCTTCCTACTGGGGAGACCACGGGAAGGGGCAGTGGGAAGTCAGTGACCGCACGGCCATCACCAACAGGCAGTGATGACTATTCAGCTCCCGAAAATTATGGCCATGTGGGAACGAGCCTGCTGTTACCAGATCTTCTGAGTTTTCCAGACAAAGCCAGAAATAGAGACTTTTGTGGCATTTTGCAATTCTAAATGTTAGCAAAACAAACAAAAACTCATGTATTTTTTGATCTGCCCTATAGGCAAATTAAAGTATAAGTTAGACTTGGTACACACTTTAAGAACAGGAAGCCCCATTTCTCTAAGTAGGGTGGTCTGATTTGCTCAAATTATACGAGGCAACAGACAGGTTTCTTGCACTCATTCACACTGTGGTACCAACAGGATTCAGGGCCCTGCTAAGGGCTACAGATGCCCTCTGTTTCTGAAGGTAAATGTCTTCTAAGGAATGCCAAGTCCCCGGCCACTGCAGGCTTTCCTTCCATTGGCTTTGGGACCAACTCCAACTCCCTACACCACCTCCCAGAACTGCTCTATTCTTAGCACAAGTCCTGCAATTGAAGGGCAAGGTGCTGCCTGTCAGGAGATGCTAATGAGACTCCACCCCCTGATTTCTGCCATTGGTGAAAATGTGCTAACTCTTGGCAGACACCACAGGACTCAGAGCAACTCGTCATCTCCCCCCAATACATTGGCACAAGAATTTGTTCTATCTGCTCAGTAAAATTCTAGCTCCAGAAACCATAATATATTTTGATGAAGAAAATAAAGCGAAAGACTAACCAAATTACCCATCCCTCACATCTTTCACTTAACTATCCAGTCGGTCTGAAAGATTTCTCCACATAAGTCACACAAATGGTCAGGTTTCATCCTAATATGTCAAGTGCTGGACAGTGGCAAATTCCTTAATAACTCAGTTGACTTGAAGAGAGGAATACTAACTCTGGCGATTTCCCCATAAGAACTCTTCGTCCATTTCCAAGGATAACAGCAATTCCTACATAGCATCTCCAGCTAGTGGCCTCACCAACCTGCAGGGAAGGATGTACCGCACGTGTGTACCTCCTACCACCATCCTTTGACAGCTCGCAAAGGATTCGTCTTCATTCCCACTGATGAAGTCCTTCCTTAAAGGACTTCATCATTAGTCGCCAGAGTTAGAGAAGAATGAACTTGAGATGGGAGTTGAGGGAAGATGTCAAGTAAGGGGAAACGTTACTGAAATATAATCTGTAGAAGATCAGCCACTGATTCACATAAATTCAGGAGACTTGGAGGTAGTGGGATAGAAATGAAAAAGCAGGTTGTGTTCTTGGGTAGCAGAAGAGAGCTCCAAGGGAATGAGAGACAGTAGCCTCACGAAGTGTACTTCCTCTGCCCTGGGCTGGGAGGTTATCTTTGGGCTCCAGGAGGCATGGGGGCTTTATTTAGTTCTTAAAGAAAGAAGATAAGAGGAAAATAGCCTCTTCAGGAAGAAGGAAAAAAAAAAGGGAGGAAAAACATGAATGCTCTTTTATAAGCATCTTCAAGGAGCACCAAGCCAACTGGCCACCCATGAGATCTGGCCACTCCCACCCTGCTTTCCAAACAAACAGGCATGACTCCAGAGGAAGGTCTGGTGAGGGGAGGTGCGGCCCAGGGGCGGGGGAGGCAGGATGCGAAAGCGATCGCATTTCCTCCGACCAAGAGCCAGGCCTCTGTGGACATCCTGCACACCCCTCCTGCCATCCTGTGCGCTGCTGGCCCAGCCGGGGGACCCTGAGGCTTTCAGGCCTTTTATCATATTAGAAGCATTTTTCTCATCATAACCGAGACCTTTAGTATTGCATTAAAAAGATGGTTAATTTTCTTAAGCTTCCTTTTAAACACAGAAATAGGATTAGAAGGATAACACGCTCAGATGCAAGCCCATTATTTGATTATGTCTAAACCTAATCCTGCCTTCACCTTGGCCTGCAGAGTCTCCATTTTGGGTTTATTGGTTGATAATGCCAGGCCTGTCAGATACTATTACTTGTGTAGTATCTGTTGCTCTGTGCTCTTTCTTCCACTATCAAATGCTGAAGGTTTGAAATTGAATTATAGGCTAAGTTCTCAAAGCCTTGCCATCTTTAAGATCTTCGTACCTATTTTCAAAGAAGAAAGAACAGTTCAGGCCCCCCAAGAGTGGGAACTCTCTTCAGCAAATTCATTCCTGACAATGCTTTGAAGGAAAGCCTTATAACTAAGCCCCCCTCTGTTAAGCAGGCTTTCTCTTCTCTCACGTTATTAAGAATGAGACAAAATGGTACTGATGTTAATAAAAAGATCGGAAGCTACAGGTGACCGTTCTCTATCCTATTACTCTTCCTATTATGCTAAAATTATCTGTCACATCGTCTCCTTGAGGGTTGGAGCTAAGTCTTATTGATACCCAGTGACTAACACAGATCTGGTGTTCATTAAATACCTGTGTAACTGAACCAAGAATTCATATCAACTCTTGGTTCCATGCAAGAAGGCAACCTGATCTCACTGGCTTTCTCAGTGAAGTAAAAAGCATTCCCGGGCCCAAGAATCACGAGAGAGGCTTGTGATAAACCCAAGAGCACGCGACCAGCCCACCCCTCCACCCATCTCACCATCTCCCCTCCCCGTCCCAGCAGCTTCTAAATGCCTTTACCTGTCGCAGTGGTTGCATTTAAAGGGCTTTGCACCTGTGTGTTTCCTGTAGTGCCTTGTGAGCTCATCGCTTCGTGCAAAACGCCACTCACACCCTTCCCACGAGCACTTATAAGGCTTCTCACCTGCAAGAAGAGATGGAACGACCATGGTCAGCAACAGGAACAAAATGGCCAGACACCTGATCAGGTTCTGCTACCCACTCATCAGCCTCGGAAAAGGGCTGTAAAAAAATCACCCTTAAAAAAATGGCATTTCCTAACACAGCATGCCACATTTTTTTTTAAGTCTCCTGGTGTTTTTGTTGTTTATTTATTTTTTTTAACCTTCAAAAGTGGTTTCACAAGATCTTCAAATCTGGAGCTGTCATTTCAGCTCCCAGAGTCAGAGCATCTCCTTTGACTGGTGAGGGATCAATTTTTATTTATTTTCTATTCCCTGGAGCACTTTGACCCCCCACATTCCAAGCAGAAAGGAAATGTGCTATTTTCATCTGAACCACAAATGCTTCTAATTCTATTTTTCTCCAGATCCTACAGTAATTTACCATTTCAGCCTTTTTAGTCTTCTCCCTCCTCTTCCCCCTCCACAAACTGAAGCCAGGCAGCTGACTGACAAGGCAAAGAGCTCACGTCTTCCAGAAACCCTGTTCCTTCCAGTAAACACAAGTGGATGTACAGTCACGAGAAAGGGCTACGATTTGAGAGTAAAACTGAAGTCACTTAATGATTCCTGCCATTTCTGTAAAATACAGTCACAAAAGTCCGACTTAAGAAGCGCAAAACTTAATGATTCCAGAGCACTCATACTCGAGAGTGAGACACAGGATTACAAAATATTTTTAAAGTCAATTTGTAGAGCAAGCTTTCAACCACAGTGAAGCTGCTTAGAAGCACGAAATTTGAGCTCTGTGCTCAAGTGACCTTTTTGCACAGTAAATACAGATGGAGGAACATGGAAGAGAAAGTACATGACTTTTCCTAAGACCTTTTTTTTTTTTTTTAACCCATCAACGTCTGTCACCAAACATGACAAATATTTACCCTTCCAACTGTTTGCTGGGCTGGTTCTAATAAGAAGAAAAATAATCTTTCAAATCGTGAGAGTTAACTAGTCTTGTACCCGAGTTAGCTGGTTAGTATAGTGGTCCACAGCTCAGAAGCCAACCTCCCTGGGCTCAGTTTTTGGTTCTGCCCCTAACTGTTTAATCTTGGGCAAGTTAATCAACCTCTCTGTTCCTCTGTTTTCTTAGAGATAACAGGGTTATGTACTATGAAGGGTTAGGAGAGGATAAATTAGGTACTATATATTCGTTAGAACAGTGCCTGGCATAGGTAAGATTCACATAACTGATAAATACTATAAACTGCCAAACCTGAAATTTCTGGATACACAAGTGTCAAAGTTGTATGGTTGTCCCACCATGTCTCCATTTTTAATAGCTAAACCTGCACTAGGTAGCACTTAAGGAGACATTGCCCAGATACTATACTTGACCCACTTTCTTCTTTCTGCCTTTTCCCTTCCCTTTAAACCTAACTACAAAGCGTTCACAATTCTTTATTTGTATCACCTAGACTTGAACCAAACATGATGGAAAATTTTATTTCATTAAATCGGTGCCCCAGTGAGCCACTGCTCTATAAGACCCACGGAGAAGAGGAACGAGAAACCCAGGCATTTCTTTTCAATCGAACTAAGAGGACATGAAGAGGGGCTGGAAGCGCAGGAGGAAACCCATTCAGTTTTGGAAGCCAGGAAGAAAAAAAAAAGAATCACGGAGCAGTGTTAAAAGTTCACCTTCTGGAGCCTTGAAGCCACAATTTTAGAAAAATGTGCCTGCTGCAGAGACGGGAAAGAGTAGAGGTATCAGATCCACTTGGGAATCAGCACACCTGGGATCTTGCTTCGTTCATCACAGACACCAGGCCTCAGTGTCCTCATCTGTCAAATGGGGGTGAGCTTCCCATGTTTATTGTGAGCTTTAAATAAGTCGTTGGGTATGTGGGACTTTTGGAGCCTGGCACAAGGTGAGTATTCTATTAACTTGAACTCCCTTTCCTCCCCATTTGCCTATGTTCTCAGAGGCTGCTGAGGGGGCAGGTCTGACCTGCTCTCAACATAAACTTTCAGGACTCAGGCTCCAGGCAGCTGAGTCTGGAGTTGATCTGGGCAACTTACATATTGGAAAACAAAGAGTCTTCTTAAGTTTTAAATATTTTCTCAGTAGACTGCTGGAGAATAGACCAGAAAAACTGAGTATTCTTTGAGCTCTGAGCAAGTAGGATGCTGAAGGGGAAATATGAGACCCAAGTTGGAGAGAGACATGGCCTCTCAGAGAGGCCTGTTGGCATCACTTACTTAATGCTATTGATCACCCATGAGGCTCTGTTACTTGAAGGAAATCTGGCACAGACGACAACAAGAAACGGAGAACGAGGCAGCACCAAAGGCTTCAAATTCAAAATGCCCCCCACTCCCAAAGGCCTTCAAATGCAAGTAGAACTGAGGGTCCTGGAACCTTGGGTGCCAAGTATGTCCCCAATGCAACCAGGCCTCTGGAAATCCCATGACACTCCACAGCAACAAGCAGAGACATCCAGTCCCCCAAATCAATCCCACAATCGAACGGACCCATCCGTCACAGGCAACCACATTCTGAAGGACACAGAAAGGACAGAGAGAAAATGATGGAAATGAAAGTGATGTCTTTGGGGTTTTTTTTGTTGTTAATTCCAAACTGTTTGCTTTTCCCCTTGCTGACTTTTTAAAACAGTTTTGTTCTGTTTTATTCTGACAAATAATATCAAGGCTTTCGTGATTTCCCAGAGAATAATGTAGATGCTCTGTTAATTCCTAGCACAAATCAACCATTCTCTGTCTAGGAGGTATTTCAGTGTCCTGCCAGCCGTAGTGTCCCCCTTGCACTGCACAGACAGAAACTGCAAACAGCTTGACTTGGCTGTGAATCGTGTCCCCTAACCTCATTTCCTGCGTGCAGTAGGTGCTATACAGAACAGCACTGAGGACAAGCCCCTCTGTCCCCTCTAGTTTAGGCAAGTTATACTGTTTTTCCAGTGTCTGATGAATGGACCTACATGTTGCCATTTCTGCAAATACTAATAAGAAATTTAAAATAACCAAGAAAGAACTCAGCCAAATGAAGGACTAGTGCCTGAAACAGGCTGAGTTCAGAAACCAGAGGGGCAGAAAAAAATATATATAAAGAACTGGGAATAGAACTTCATATTTAAAGCTCACAGACAGTGCGGTTAGGCTGGCCTCATTTCTGGGTTCTATCCTCACTTCCATAAACCAATATCTACTCTCAAGCCAGTGAAATTCTTCTGTCAGTACTTTGCATGGCCAAGATGACATCTCCCTGGACACCGACACCTACTGCTGGATCTTGGAACCACCTACATCCACAATGAATTCGTTTTTATCCTCACAGCCTACCTGAGGATTTCAACTCATTTCATGAAAGGCTTGGAATTCCTTCTTTATAAAAGAATGGCTTTGTTTATAAAAGGAAAGAAAGACTTTTAGAAAAAAGAGAGAGAAAGAAAGGAAAGAAGGAAGGAAGGGGGGAGGGAGGAAGAAAAAGAAAGAAAAGGAAAAAGCAGTTCAGTCATAACTGAGCAGATTTCACCCCAAATCAGCTCATCTCCTTCACCCTCCCTTCTCTCCTTGCTCCACTCCAGATACTATTCCTGGGTATAAAACAGAAAATGTCGCAGTCCTGCCCCACGCTACACCAA